GGTCTCCAGGGCTTCCCTGGTGATTTACTGGGCTCAGGGAAGGGCTGGCCACAAGCTGCTTTCTCCTCTGATGTTTTAATTAGAGAAAGGGCAAGCAGCAAATCATCAGGACTGCCCTGTGCCTTGGCAGCCTCTTTCCCCTGCAACTTGCCAGGTGCTGGGGACGCTGTCCAGCTGCTTCTTGTTCTTCTTGGCTGCAAATACAGTGCTGCCAGCCCCAAACCTACAGGATCTCCATGCCCTCAAAGAAGGGACAGAGCACTAATGCCTCCACACACAACACAAGTGGAGCCCAATCCCTGCTGCCTGCTTGTAGACCCCGTTGTGGTGGTACCCAGCAGCCTTCGAGGACAGCAGAACAAGTCCAAGTACCTCTTTCCTACCCACAGCAACTTTCTCAGCTCTGAAACACTCCTTGACTCTCCCAAACCCTCTCCTCAGTGGTTGCAGACCGGTGCTTTTCCACTCGCTACAGCGGCAGAGAGCTGCTTTGTACCAACGGCCCCGAAACACTCCCCCGCACCATGCTGTGCACCCGGGACTTACTTTCAGTGAGTAGGCCAAAGCAATGAAGCCGAGGCAGCAGAAGTTGAGGTAGACAAAGTTGAAGATGGACCAGAGATAGTAGTCATTCACCTCGGTGGTATCTGGGTAGATCTCGATCACCGTGGTGGGGTTGGTCATCGTCTTCTTCTCTACCAAGTGCTTGCAGGGCACTGCTGTGCGCAGGCTGTCCCCTTTGCAGCTATTGCTCTCCATGAGGTACCCGGCGGAGGCCGGGGCCAGGACCGGTGAGGGGGGCCGCAGGGTGGGTGGCTTGGCGATGCAGGCGAAGCAGCCCTGTGGGGGGCCGCGGGCGGCACGGGGCGCCCAGGCTTCCGCAGCCAGCGGTGCCTGCCGTGGGCTCACCGGGCGCCGTGCTGGCAAAATAAAAGCCCCTGTGAAAAACGGGGACAGGGGAGAGGAGAGTGGGGCACCGTGAGGAAAAGCAAGGCGGGGGTAAAAAGGGAAGGGGAAGTGTGGGGGGGAAGCAGAGACGAGGAAGAGGGTCGAGGAGGTGGAGGAGAGCATGGGCAGCAGAGCGAGGCAGTGGACAGAGGAAAGCGGGAGGAGAGCAGGGCAGGGAGGAGAGAGTACTGTTACATCCCGGGCCAGCAAGCAGCCCCTGTGATGCCCTTAGCCCTCCACGCCGCGCGGCTGGGGGCCCCGTGCCGCGGCCGCTCCGGCGCTGGGGACATCCATGGCTCGCTCGGCTGCCCCTGCTCTCCCTCCCTCTGTGCGGTGCCCGCGGTCCTGCGCTGATGGTGCCTGAGCCCTTCGCGGCCGCAGTCCGGCAATAACCTATGTGGCTGCTCCCTGGCTTGGCATCGCGCGCACAGCCGCACCAGCATGGAGGAAGGAGTCTGCGCTCACGCCTTGCAAAAGAGGGAAAGGAGGAGGAGGAAGGGGCATTAAGAAGGGGGGATAAGGAAAAAAACAAAAAGAAAGCAAATAAAAGCACAAAGAAACACTTGAGGAGAACTGTGGGGGTCTGAAAAGAGAGTTCCCGGGCAGCCGCGCCACCCTCCCCCTCCCGCCTGCAGCCCTCTCCGCCTGCCCATCTGTCTGTCCAGCAGGGCCTCCTGCTTTCTGTCCCATCCTGGGATCGAAGCGGGTTGCCGGGGGCAGCTGTTGGGCTGTTGATCGGTACGGCGGAGCGGAGCTCATCTCGTGGTGCAGCAGAGCAGCCCGGATCCTCTCGCTCGCTCTCTCTCCTCTTTTTTTTTTTTTCTTTTTTTGCTGAGTCCTCAGTCATCTCTGTGAGATTCCTGATGTAACTGCGTTCCCAATTCCTCTTGCCTGCCAGTAGCTTTTTCTTTTTCCCCCGTTTCGGAGATTATCATGGCCCGAGCGGAGGAGGAAGAGGACAGGGGAGGTGGGGAGAGGATGAGGACGGAGGATGGGGAAGGGGTGTGTGGGAAGAGGCTGCCTCCCTCTCCTCCCTCCCTTTCACCAGGCGATTAGGAGAGACGAGTCCACCTCATGCTGTCTGTCCGTTCGTCCATCCGTCTCCTCAGCAGGCATCAGGAGAGCAGAGCGCGATACTCACAAGGAGGGATGCGGGGAGTCGCTGCATATCCGGCTCAGCACTGCCTCCGGCTCCGCTTTCTTAACACTGGAGTTGATGGAGGAGGGGAGGGCGGGGGTGGGGGTGCCTGGACGGGACCGAGGTGCCAAGGACGGAGGCTCGGGGAAGGCAAGTCAGCCAGCAGCCCCACCAAACCTGCTTTTTGCCTGTGGGAGAGCTGCAGCATGTCTCAGCCCCAGTGCCCTTCCCCTGATACCCACCTGCCTCTCCCCAGCATGGGGGCAACTCCTCCTTCTTCAGCCGTGCTGGGGGCTACTCGCTGGAGAAGTCCGTCTCCCAGGCACACTCCCGATGGCGTGGGGCATTGTCCGAGCGGATTTCCACGCTGGCCGTGGGGGAGGCTCAGTCCTGCTCTCTAACCCCCAGCATGGTGCATGCAGTTGAGTCTTGCTGAGCCTGGGTGGTTTGGAGGAGGACCTAAAGCAGGTCTGGAAGGGTGGTGTGAGGACGACGAGGACAGCATGGTGAGGTTGCACTGAGTACAGTGCCGTGGGCAGAAAAGTGGTGTTTCTGCTCCAGTCATGGGGAATGGATAGAAAGCGGATAAATCCCAGTGCAAGGCGGGGTATTGCCAGAGCCATGAGTTAGCAGGGACTAGGAGCAACCCAGCAGCAGGGCTTTCGGGTGCTTGAGCAGAGGGAGGTGGGGATGGCACCAAGGGCGGAGAAGCCCTGGAGGATCTGGCTTTGGCGTGGGATCAACAAAATAGCTTCTGCCTCCAGTTGCCAACTGAACTGGGAGCTGTGCGGAAACCGCTTGTAACTTCATATCCTGGGGATGCGATGCCGGCGTGCGGCCAGCGTCGCACAGCGAGGGCCCTCAGGTCATTTGGGAGCCTGCAGCTGCAGCACTGGGGATGTGAGGACGAGCCGTGTCACCTTGCTGTGGAAGAGCCCGGCATGTTGCAGGTGGACTTGAGGCAGTGGCTGGTTGTGCCAGGGCACTAGGGAGGGAGAGAAGATTAAGCTCAGGAAAAATTTATTGACAGTGAGGGTGACAGAGCACTGGAACAGGCTGCCCAGAGAGGTTGTGGGGTCTCCTTTTCTGGAGATCTTCAAAACCCGCTTGGACGCAGTCTTGTGCCACGTGCTCCAGGTGACCCTGCGTGTGCAGGGGAGTTGGATGAGATGATCTCTAAAGGTCCCTTCCAACCTTAAGGATTCTATGATTCTATGATCATTGCAGGAAAGCCATTGCAGAGCAGTGACTGGAAATGGCCTGATAAGATTCCTAAATATGTTAGATAAATTTAAAGTTGATGAGAACAGTACCTGCAGGCAAAGGAAGATGCTCTATAAATGTTTTCAGCCTACCAACAACGTGCTGAGTTAAGAAATAATAATTGTCGTTTACTTGGCTGTGTGCAAAAAGGTTTGGCTCCAGGTTGATGGTGCCCAGAGTTTATTATCACAAGTCAATACATTGTGAGGGGACTGCTCACGCTCTCAGGCATCTATACGGCAAACAGAATTGTTTGCACCATTCTGTTTTAGTCCCTTTGGGGAAGTCCCTGATGGTTAAAAGGGGAACATGTTTCTGCTTAGGGATTTAGTACTGCGAGAGAGATGCCAAAATAGGGAACGTTTTGCTATGTTTGTCCATGACAGGACTGAGATCTCTCTCCAAGAAGCTGTTAAGGAACATAGACAGCTATGGGATAAGAGTGATGATCTCCTGGGATTACGATGCTTTCAGGAGAGGCAGAAAAGAGTATGTTGAACTGCTGAGCTGGAAGCTATGGCCAGCTATTGCCGGCTTGTCTAGAGGGCTTTGCTAAACCTGGGGAACCCATGGCTGTGCAGAAAGGGTTCTTCCAGGCTCAGGAGGAGCAATTAAACGTCTTTTATGCAGGGTGGTTGCTGTTATCCACAGGAGCTTCTGCCCAAGGCAAGGCTTGATCCCAGGGAGGCCCTTTGGTTGAGGGGGCTCAGAGATCACAAACACATAAACACGGCGATGAGGAAGCTGCTTGTGTTGAAGACAGAAGCCAGTGGAAAAGCCAACATGCAGACAAGCAGCTGTGACTGTGCCCTGGGGACAGCAGAGCCACAAAGATCCCCAGGACACTGCGCTTGGAGAGGCTGGCTCAGAAGCAGGAATCAGACAGTTGTTTTGTTCCTTATCAAGCTATTTGTTCCCACTGTCCTCAGGGAAAAGGGATGTGTATATACCTTGTATATATGTGAGATTGCACTGAATTTCTTATTGTGCTATTAATTCTCCTCCTAAAAGCAATGTATTGCAAAGTCCCAGATATAGGCCAACTACTCAGGGCCCTAGAATAAAAAGTCCATTTTCAACACAATGAAAATTTGTCAGTGGGAAACCATGAAGTCCCTGCAAAGATCTTTAAGAGTCACTAATGAACTGGAAAATAAATTAAACAATGAAGTGAAAATATGCAAAGCTGATGCACATGTATTTAGTGTAGTGTAGTCCAGAGAAGGCTTTACTGACTTCCCAGAAGCCAAAGCCAGGTAACTAAGTGACATGACTTTACCATGTATGAGCATCAGCATTGATCAGGGGGATGAAATGAAGAGCTAGAGCTTCCTATGACCTGCTGAGAGCCAAAAGGATATCCTGCTATTCTCACATTCCCTTCATGGCATTCCCTTGAGGCATGTGGTGCTGGTGGTGTTTGAGAAGAAGCTACTAGCACAGATGGGCATGGCCCCATCTGATTCTTGCCTCTTCCTGGTGATAGGTTCAAACAATAGGCTGGCATGAACCAAGACCAGCATGCCATTTATGTATCTCGTGGAAGCTGTGCATGTAGAACTGCCCTGCTTCATACCTCAAATAGGAACAGAGAGCAAGGGCAGAAAAACAGCAAAGTCAAAAAGGAGATTGGGAGGAGGGAGATGTAGCGGGTTATGAGACCATCAGGACTTTGCTGAGGAAACTGAGGGTGGGCAAGTGGGATGGGGAATAAAACGGTGTGGTGTTCCTTTTCAGAGTTGCGATGGATATAAATAATTGTTTGTATTACTGTGACATCAAGGCCCACATCCCATTGTGCTAAGGGACAAACACAACAGAAAGATGCTTCCTGCCCCAGAGCAATTCTCTTCTAATCTTGTTAGACATGTGCGAGCTGTAACATAACCAAGTACTGTAAGACCCGTGAGAAAGTCTCCCATCTCAAATCCTGCCTCCATTCTCTGGAAAAATATCAGGGCAATCTGCCTCTATCTTTTATTACGGAGAAGGCTACAAGCACCTGAATGAGCTTTCTTCTTACCCCTCCCTGTGAAATTCAGCAGTGGATTGCTAAACTGCTAAGTGGTCTGAAACTTTGTAATGGTTCCCCACTCTCCCCTGATTTCTCTCTCTAGCTTTTAGTATGCACTCCACTTCTTTTCCCACCCAAAGAACCTAAAAATAAATAGATCACAGAAAGAGCAGAAAAAGCTATCAGCCCCCAAACAAAGTGCTTAGTCATCCACAGTTAGTAAAAATAGTTTCCAAAAGCAACAAATTGCTGCACCAACCAGATGCATGTTATCTCCATAAGCAAGGGGGCTCCCTCCCTTTGTGGGTAGGTCACTGTCTGAACAGGCTTTTAGCAAACCACTGATGAGGCATAGAGCGGAGTCAGTTAGGGGAAGGATCAGACCCATTAAGACAGCCTTGGGGATCCATGCCAGACACCCTGCTGCTCAGAGAGAGTTGTAATGAAAGTGTTTATCTTCTTTGTAGTAGTGGAGAAATTTAATAAGAAGTTATCGAATTGTCAAGTGAAGGGAGTTCTGCAGAGACAATGCAGCAAACGGGAGGGGTGGGAGCCCCAGAGGGAGAGGGTCTCATGGCATAGCAAACATTTTCTGGGGCAAAGGTTGAACAAGATAATGAGGGGCCAAGTGCAGGCTGCTCATGAAATCAGGTCCACTCCATTCCCCAGTGAACAGGACCCTGGAAAAGCAGACAGAAGAATCTGGCACTTGGCCTTGCCAGCTCTCAGCCAATATCAAAGCTCCAGTTGTTTCTGTTCCTTGTCCCTTTTACTCGGGAGAACAGGTGGCTGTGATGCTAAGACATCCTGCGGGAACGGGGACTCAAGGCAGTGGGGAACTTGTTGAATGCTCTGAGTGCTTAGGTCCGCACTTAGAAAATTGGATGAGATTTTGCTCCGTCTGGCTTCCTTATATAGATGATACTTTTTTCCAGTTGGGGATTAGCTCGTAGCATGTGTTTGTACAGGACCTAGCCCATAAAGCCTTCGCTCTGCCCTGCAGTCTCTAGCTTCCATACAGTAGCTCTAGGGCTAAACATGAGACAGCCAAGCAATAGGGATGAGTTTTTCATACGTTTTGAAAAGCAGTTGTGCTCTTCATCACCAGGCTGCATGTCCCAAGTCCTCTGCAAACCTGTTCTAACTGGTTCACGTGGTCAGGAGACACTGCAATTATGCTATTAGAGGACTATCTTCATGGCACTTGGCCACAGTGATGTGACCCCAAGAAAAGGCTTTTGCTAGCAGAGCTGTTCAGAGCACCTACTGGGCCAGGTTGCGTTGGCTCAGCCAGGTGAAGCTGTCACATTGTCTTGCAGATGCTGCGTTATGTGCTAATGAATTCAAAAAGACAAACCTGACAGCCTCCCAGAATGCTTCGTTATCAGCGAGCATGGAAGGATCCCCTCCAAAATGTGCACAATTGCACCTGAGTGAGCTACTGCTCTCTACAAAACCAACTGGTCTGGGGCACATGGGCCATGAACACAGAGAAGGACTTGAGCAATTTCAAAGTGCTTAAAAAAAAAGACCACTCGCAGAATAAGAGGGAAAATACTGTATTTTCTTTTCAATTTTCTATAATGAGACAGTAATTCTGACAGCAAATTAGATTAAAAAAAAATCACACAGTTAGAGTTTGGTTTAAAAATGCAGATAAAACAACAAGGGGAGGAGACCAATTCAGTGAGATCGCAAATGTGGTTAAATCAAATAAACTGCTCCTCCAGCCTATCCTAAGATATGTCATTTAGGGCATCATTTGGGGCCATAGTCTTTCCTCAGACAGAAGTGTCCAGCCTGCCCAAGGACAGAAATCAGCCCAGCATTAGGTTACTGCAAAGAGGCTACAACATGTACAGCATAAGGCATTGTCCGTTCCACAGAACTGCTGTAGGATGGCTTGTTTTCAGGCTTCCCTGTACATCCTGCCAGGGGTTAAATCAGATGAAGAACACATTCAGAATCCGCAGTCAGCTCCATGTCAGGCCATCCCCCCATATCAAGTCAGATTAACGGGTACCTGAGAAACTGTCTCTGTCTCAGTCACTGCTTTGGATAAACCCTGCAGCTGTGGGAGAATTTAGCAGAACTTTGAAGAGCTCTGGGCATTTAATCAATTTGGAAACTGGGTTCTCTGGAGAGTGCTGAGCATCTGCGTTTGATTTTTTTTTTCTGTAATGTGCTACTGTTATCTAGCCAGATCCCCCGTCTGCAACAGATGCCTCTAGGCTTCCACATACAAGGTTGCAGGTGATGACTATGAACAGGCAGAAGGCGGCTTTGGGAGCAGCTGATTTATCATGCCCGGGGTTGCATGGGAGAATGCATAGATTAGACGTGTGCTCAGGCCCATCCCTACTGGCCAAGTCAAACCCTCCAAGGGATGAGTAATAATGTCGAACTGATGAGCTGCACAGGATGGGGAAGGGGACATTTGCAGACTATCTGCTTGCTGTCCTCAGAGCCTTGTAAAACACTCTCTTCTGCTTTCCAGTGTTGCTTAAAACTCACTTTATCCTCCTTCAGCTACTGTTGTCTCCCTGCTCCCCTAGTGTATGTCTACTGATTCCAGCCCAGGGATGTGGATGGCTCCATATACACTAGTCTTGGCTCTCCAGGGGCAAAATGTAGCACAGCTAATCCTTCAGCTACAAACTCACCAAAGCAGGGAATGTGCCTCACTTATTCTGTAACAAACAATGCAAATGAACATAGTTCTCAACAATGTTAATACAGAAACTATAGCACAATGTATGGAGGGTATTGAAGGTGAGTTAGATTTCAGGACTGGGAAGTGGTAAAAAGGGCAAATAAAAAATCAGAAGCCTCCATGGTACCCTCCTTCCTGGAAGACTTGCTGACTCAGTTCTGCCAACTGTCTCTTGAGTTTTGAGCAATTCAGAACACTATGAATAATGTTTCCAAAAGCTCTAATGTGACTTCCAAACAACTAGATATCATTGATCACAAATCACATTGAATCAATGTGATTTAGGCTTGCAGGCCACTTAGTTGCTTTGGGAAACATTACACTCAACTCAATAGCTCCAGATGAGATTAGAAAGTTCTGAGGTTTGGAAAAACTGGGAGAAGTTTGCCAAACTCAAGAGCATTTATATGAACTCTTTGCTCAAACTGGTTTGCTCAGCCCTAAACTTAAATCTGGGCCTTTCAGAACATGAATTCAAACAACTTCTATTAAATCCTAGTGTTACCTCCTTTGTATTCTTACTCCGCGAAGAGTCCTACTGGTAGGAGTCCCCCAACAAATCCCTGCCCCAATAGGTCTGTGAGAGCCTCAGACCAGGCATGGCTCGATCACACCTCAAGCTCTCACTCGTGTTGTCACAACACAAAAACACACAACTAGAGCTTTTAGACTTTAAAATGTCCCCTGTGCATGCTAGAAGATCGCCCTCAGCTCTTGCCCAGGAAGCACGCTTTCAGGATTAAGCTAGCACAAGTTCACTGAGAAGTGATTTAGCGATTGCTGCCTGACCAGTATCACAGGAGTGATCAAGACCAACTCTATACACCTCCCACTCCCCCACTGCATTAGTGAAAAAGAGGAAGAAATAAAAAGCATGTAGGATAGTTCTTCCCTTCCCTCTCCCCCAGCGCAGAAGCCCAAACCCAAGAGCACCCGCACAGCTTCTCTCCAGGAATGCTGGCATTGCCAGACGGCTCCAGCAAGCAGCCTCTCCAATAATGAGACCAGTGCTGGGAGACATGAGAGGGCATTGCTCAGCCTTGAGAATCAATATTAAAAACAAATACTGGAAGATCTAAGAGTAAAGCAAGGAGCTACTCTAGCTGGAGTTGTCAACTAGAGCTGTCCCAGCACCACATACTCAACAGAGGGGAAAAAGTAGCTAGCAGAGCACTAGTAATGATTATTTTTCTTGTAAATTTATATCTAGCTCCATTTCCTTTTTTTTTTTCTTCCCCCCGGGTTTCTAATCCTGGTAATCATTCTCTACAGCTCCCACGTGTGTGTGTAAGTGTGTGTGTGGCAGAGGCAGTGTGGGTCAGGCGCTTAGACGCATTTGGCAAAGCCAACAGAGTCGTTATCACGGTCAAAGACGGTGTAGTAGGGACCGATGAAGACATCACCCAAGATCCACAGGGGGCCTCCGGGGGGTGGGACATCCAGGCCTGAAAATCCACTCAGGCAGATGGTCTCCCCCTGTGCAGAAACCTAGAGAGAAGAGCAAGGGGTTTAGTCAAAGCAGGTCCCCACTTCCCCTCTACCTCACGGCTCTGTATAACACCTGCCAATGCTGGCTGCATTTCAGGCTCTCAGCTCGTGACCTGAAGCTTGCAGAAGTTGTGAAAAATAAGTAACTCCCACCTCTCCATTATCATAAATTCAAACTTATCTCCCCTGCCAAGAATCTGTATGCACATGTGTCCTGTTAGCAAAAGGTCAAAGAACAGTGCACTCATAAACATCCCAGACCACCCTGCTCTAGAGTAGAGCTGCTGCTGAAAACTTGCAGAAGGTGCAGAAGAAAGTTGATTCTGTCTTACAACATCTGATGGCTTAAATGATGGACTGTTGGTCTCTGCTGTGACAAGGGCTGGTCTAAAGCTATTACCTATCTGAACCCACCAGAAAAGAGCCTACAGTTGGGCATAATGTTGTAGAAAGCCATGCAACTGCCTGGCCCTTTTTTCCCACTCCACCCTATTTTGCCCCCCATAAGTAAAGAACATCACTCAGGGCATCAGTGCCACCACATTACCAGTCTTTCAGGCTTTTTCTCGAATGCCAGTTCCAACCTTGCTTTCGCCAGCCTCATGTTCTGAGTTTCATGATGAAAGTTGCCTTGGACCCACCTTGAAGACGTACTGCTCCCCAGTGAGCTGGTAGGGCTTCCCTCCCAGTGTGAGCGTGATCACAGGCAGAGAGGACACCTTTTCACAAGGGATCACGTACTGCAAAGGAAACAATAACAGTGACGGCCTTGGCTGTGGCTTCCTCCTGAGCTGGGCAGCGGATGGGAGCTAAAGCCTCCCAAAGCATCTGGGATCGGACCTCCCGCGCGTCCCGGCGGACTGCAAAGGGCTGTGGGGAGGGTGCAACCCTCCACCCTGTTTATCGGTAGCATTCAGCATGGCCTGAGGCTCTCACGGTTCAGGGGGCTCTGATTTCCCCATGGCAACTCGCTCCTCCCACACCCAGAAGCAGGTCAGTGTCGAGCACACGGATGGCAGGGATGGACAGACAGACAGGGCCAGCAAACCCCAGCTGCAGCCTCAAAGTCTTTGGCCCGGAGGAGCTGAGTATTATACCACCACCCAAGGGCAGGAGCAAGGCAGCAAAGCTCAGAGACAGTGGGGACTCGGTGCTGGTTTTGCAGGGTTTTTTTCCAGGTATGCAGTGGCTGGAGGCACTTCCCCAGCTTTCCCAGTGCTGCCTTACCTCGCCTTTGATGAGAGGCTTAGCGCCGATGGCCTTCTGCAGCTCCTTCACCTCCTTCGTGGGGCCGGTGATGAGCGAGGTGCCCGTGTCCACGATGGCCTCGCAGCCCCCTTTGCACAGGGTGAGCCCATTGGCCACGTCCACCCTAGGGAAACGTCGGCAGGCAGAGGTCAGCCCTTCGGCCCGCCAGGGCGACGGCTGGAGTGCCCTCCCTGCGTCCTGCCATCCCGTTTGCACTCTGGAGCACACACCACGCTGACAGGCAGCGAGGGAGCAAACAGCAACGCGCTACGGGCTCCTCAGAGCTGCTGCTTCTCACGGGGGCGTTATGTAGCAGCCTGTGCTGCTGTGGAAAGCAAAGGGTTAAAGGGGTAGTGTGACCACTTTGGCGGCTGCGGATGAGGAGGGGATTTGGGTACATTACGCAGGCCATAGGGAGCTGCCTGGCTTCTGCACCCACGTTGCGTTTCACAGCAGTGTGGAGAGATAAAGCCTCCCAGCCAAGCGGCTCGGCACGCTTTGCCAATGCTGCATGACTTGGGGAAGATGAGAAGGAAAACTGCGCTGGAGAGGGCTCAGGAAAACAGCACATACTGATCACAGGCTGCTTTTAAGTTCCCGTCACGTGGGAGCACTCAGAATAGACCACAGGGCTCACAGGCTAGTGGCAGCCCTCCGCTCAGGCCGCTCAATCACGCTCATTCTCCTTCCCTCGGCCTCAACAATGTGCCGTGATTGCTGTGCTGTGTCCTTCAGCCAAGGGCTGAGATTCTGGGCCTCACTGTGCTCCTCCTGAGCTTCCAGCAGCCATGGGGGATGCCTGAGCACAGCCACCCACCCAGCTCAGTCCCTGTGGAGAGAGGCAAAGCTGGGGCTTAGTCCTAGGGTTTCGCCCTGCTCGTGGGAAGGACGGGCTGGGATTTCTCCCTGCGTTGCAAGGGCACAACATGCACTTTCATGGGCCAAGCTGTAAACAGAGAAAAGGATTTTGCAGAACAGCCTCCTGCTGTTTCCTTCCTCTCCTCACTTTCCAGGGACCAATGACACAGCTGTAGGGTGGGATTTTAATCTGCTTTTTTGGCCTGTCTCCATTGCAAGAGGCAGAGTGCTGGGGGGCAGACCATTCCCCTCTCACCTCAGCCCTGGGCACGACTGCCGTAGGGCTGCCCGCACACATGTCCGCGTGGGTGCTGCGCGACGCAGGGGGCACTTACGCGTCCATGTGGACCTGCCAATAGGCTTTGCGCGTGACATTCACCCAGCTGAAGTCGCCACTGTAATACTTGGGGTCAGTTCCTCCCAGGAGCAGCTCCCCACCAGGCTGAGCTGTGGGGTCCCTGAAAGAAGAGCAAACTCGTTAACATCAAGGCGAGAATAACCACCCTCCACAAGACCTAAAGCTTCCTGGTGCTTGGAAACACAAGCGGGATGGTGCAAGGAAGCACAGCCTTGGTAGCACTGGGTCCAGACAGTGCTACCAAGCACTAAAATGTGTTGGTGAAATGGGGAGACACCACGGATTTGCCTGGGAAAGGGGAAGGGGAAATTGGAAGGCTGAAATCCTTCAGCTTTTCACATGAGACTTGTGCATGGAGATGTGGACCAACTCATTGCAGTGATGGAGGCTGCAAAGGGAGGCTGAAAACTGATCAGTGATGCCTGGACCCCTTCCAGATAACGCCCGTCCTTCAGCTCAGAACCAGCATCCACGAGGGGCTGGACATGGATGACAGTGTGGTAAGTTAGGTAAGGAAGAGCTGTGCCTGGCTCTGCTACTGCCGCCAGCCGCAGAGCCGAATCCTCAAGGTTACCCCAAGATAAAAGATCGCTGCCGAGCAGATGGGAAGAAATATGGTGAGGGGGGAGGGCTGCCTTTTTATCTGCCAGAAGCAACGGTCTCTGCTCTCCCCCTCCAGGTCGTGCTACTTTTCAGCCAGAAGTAGCTCAGCGTCTCCCCGCTGTGCCCGGAGGGTGCTCAGCTCGCTGGGGCTGAGCAGCAGCCGTGGGGCAGGCGCAGAGCAGCACCCTGGGCGGGTGAGGGAGCAGTAGCCCATCACTGGCAATGGCTGGCACGGCGCGGGCTCGCCTGTTAGTCCACAACGGCATGGGCCACGTGACGTTTGGATTTGGGGGCTCTGTTGACCCCACTAAGAGGACTTCATTACTTGATCTCGTGATCACAGCACTCCTTGTTTTTGTTTCTCTGTCCACTGAAAAAACCTTCCCTCACTCCAACAGCTAAGAAATGGGGTAGAAAATATATCCAGCATTTCTGCATCACCTTTGTCTACCTTAAACCAGCAACTGGTACAGTGAAAAACAGACTGTTCTCAGGTGACAAAAGGCCATCTTCTCTGAGGGTCTAAGAATCGACCTGTACTGATCTTTCCAAACTGAGGGCCTGGCCAGAGAACTGAGATACCAGGTTAGTCCAGAAAGAAGATGATTCCAGCCAGCAGGAGGTGGTTAGAAGTGAGTGGAAAGCAAACAGCCGCCTGGGCTTGTCCTCGCCATAGAACTGCTCCCCCCCAAGCCCCACGCTACCTGTTCAGGTAGAAGGAGAAGATGTTTTTCTCAATCAGCTTCTGCTGCATGATGTTATCGAAGAAAGGGGTGACCTTGTCTACAGAGATCTTTGGGAACGCCATGCCCAGGATGCCATCGAACTTGGCAGCAATGAAGGTGATGCCTGGCTGCTTCACCGCCTCCCCAAATATCTGGTTCTTGATTTCCAAGTCACCCAGCTGAGGGGAGGGAAAGAAAAAACAAGTGAATGAATGAAAACTGGAGCGGAGAGCACGATGTTGGTGAGTGCAGGCCATAGTATGTCTTACATAGCCACAATCCTGCTTGCCTTGGCCTAGACATCTGTATGGGGCCATGAAAACCAGACATGCTTGTGCCACCTTCCTGGGAGGAACAGGCCACCCAAGGCACCCACCAGCATCTCCCACTACCATGTTATTGCCTAGTGCATCCTTTTCTTCCAACCTGAGCTGCTCATTTTACTTCTTTAATCCTGGAACAAATTCCTCCCACTTTCTCCCTACTCTGGACCTCCATTTTGTCTCCTTGTGCTCCTTGGGTGCTGCACACACAACCAGTCTAAACCACAGCTTCTTCCCACCTCTACACACGGCTCTGCAATCTCCCCTGTACCAGCTTGTTCCTCCCTTTCCGGAGGGGATGTCAGAAGCTCATGGAGACTTCGGGGCGGGTAAGGGCAAGACCCAGCTGTGAAAATGAGGTTAGGCCCGGAGCACAAAAATAGTAATGGCAGTAATGTGAATGTGAAGGTCACCTCTGCCGCCGAGCACTAGGGCCGATGCGCTTTCCAGCAGGCAGAGCACAAGGGCAGGTCCCCAGCTTGGGGCAATCGGGGTGGCTCTCCTGGAGGGCTCTCTAGGTGAGGACCCGTCTGCCGGCCCCTGTCTCTAGTGGTTCCACGCTCACCACAGGCAATTTTAGCGTGGCTACTAGGACAGCTTCTGCCTCTGGAGCTCCAGCTAACGGTCCTGCAGTCAGCTGGACTGGAGTGGAAAGCTCGGCCGCCCGTACCTGACGGCAGATAACGATCCCTGTCAATGACTAATATCCCCGTGGGGCCGGACAGTGCTCCGCGCATGGCTGCGCGTGTGACCGGCCAAGCGCAGGGCAGGCAGCGCTGACCTTAGCGGTAGCGGCGCCTTTCGCTGCGAAACGGCACCTCAGCCTTGCGAAAGCTGAAAGCCGCACGGCAGGATGTGGGGCCGCGCTGCTCGGAGCAACGCAGCCGCTCGCATCCGCTCAGCGAGCGGCGGTTGAAGGGCACGGGCTTCCAACGCGCTCGCTCCTCCCTCTCGAGGCAGCGCCGGCGGGAGCAGAGGGCTCTTCCTCCACCGCAAGAAAGTGGCCTTCACAAAAAACGTAGTTCAAAATCTGAACAATAAAACCGAGTGCTGGGGGTTTTTGAATGCTCCCTCAGTTCCACTTCCAGCCCATGAAGGAGGGAAGTAACAGCCTGTGGATGCGGTCTCAAGGGCTTGCAATGACCTTGCCCATGCTTGCTCCTCCGGCACAGGGGTATCCGTGGGCCTGGAACACCAGGGCATCTTTAGCAGGGTACTGGACTACAGCTCCCTCATCTCCACCACTTGGCTGCCTCTTGCCCAGGTGCAAAGCTCTGCATGACCATGGCCGGTGGTGGCTGCACGGCAGTGGCCTCCCTCCTGTGCCAGTGCCCGCAGCAGGACTGCAGGAACCCAAAGGCTGCCTGGGTTCACACGCGAGGGAGCTGCTCTCAGGCCACAGAGGCCGTGGGGAGGTGACAATGGGGCATCTCCTGCGTGGGGGGCCTGTGATATAGCCCAGCAATGGAACCTCCAGGTATCCCAGCTTAAGGGCCCGCAGTGCCCTCAGCTCCTTTGCAACCTGCTTGGGAGCCACACAAGAGGTTTCTCCTGCTTCTGACCAAACGGGAGCTGAACACTACCAGCTCTGCTGCTGCCAAGAGGCATTCCCACTCCCCTAGACAAGCCCAGGCACAAAATCTTCCCTCCGCACCCCTGGGAAGTGGCAGAGAGCTAATTAGCAAGCAAGCATTGCGGTGATAATTACCAAAAAAAAAAAGTAGAAGCTGCAATTTTCCCAGCTCCCTCCCCTCTTTGCATTAAACTAGAAAGTACCTATACCCACCCACCCCTTCCGAGGCAATCAAGCTGCCTGTTTGCCTCACTGCCCCACTCCAGCATGGAGGAGCTCTTTCACAACCAAGCCATAAAAACCTTTGCATGTTTGCTTTCTTGTCTGCCACTTTTTTTTTTCTCTCCCTAAGCGAAAGAACCAAAGTCCCTACAAAGCAAATGGGGTGAAGAAAAGTTGAAAACGGCCCCGGGAGCCGCGGGAGGGCAAAGAGCAAAGAGACACCTTGGAAAGCTGGAGATGGCCCATGTAGCCCCCCAGGCCCATCACTAACCGTCACGGTGTCCTGGCTCAGGTACCCAGAGAGGCTCCCGGTTCCATAGTGGATGGCGAACTCAGTGCCGTTCTTCACGTAGGTGCTGGACTTGGAGGCATCGTACTTGTGGTGCAACACTGTGGCCGGGGCCGGGGACGTGGGAGGACGCCGTGTGAGGCACCAGCAGGAAAATAAATAAAGAACAAGCAGAAAAATTAGCGCCGGGGAACCTGCCCTGCCTTTTATCTGCCAGTCTGTCAACAACAAAATAGCCTTCTCTTATCTGGAAACCACAAGCAGAAATCTCTATCGAAAGAGATTCAGCCAGCCTGCTTGTCCCACTCCCAGTTCCTCACAGGCACAGACTCTCGCAGACAGACGCAAAGACTTTTGCCAAATCTGGCGTGTGGTACAGAGCATTTCCAACACGGGGGGAATTAAGCGCCCAGATCCAATTTGGCAGCTCGATAGGATTTGGCCAGAGCACATTAAGAAGCTGGAGTATAGGTGGCTGCTACGTCAGGGTCCATTAGATACCAGAGAGTGACAGGTCCCCGCAGCTGCCCAGTGCTGGGGAGACCTGGGCTGGCTTCCAGCACGGCCCCGTCCGGACACGATCCTTTTCCCACTAAGGCCATCATATTTTTTTGCACATAGATGGTCTGAAACTCTTTTTTTTTTTTTCTTTTTTAATTTGCGAAGGAGAAGGGTTTCCCTCCCTCCCAAACTATTTTTCCCTCGGAAAGGTCGGGAATGTCGGCACGCCCCCGGATTTGTGGCCTGGCACAGCAGATACCTCCTCCGCAGAGTTTTGCTCAGTCACAAGGAGAGCTCCAGAGGGCCAACCACTTGCTGAACCCGCTCCCTGACTCAAAATGCACAAAATGCAGGGACCCAGCGTGCTGCAGGGAGTCTATGCTGGCCATGTAATCTGGGCCATGGCTGGGTGGGATTTTGGGCTCCCCATACACTTGCTAAATGAGCCCAAGGAGCCGCTGGCAGATTGGGGGCTGTGAAGGCTCTGCTGAAAGGACCTCAGTCACAGCTGGTCCCACTGGCTGGAGAAATCAGCCTCCTCCAGGACAGCAGAGACAGCAGGATGGACCCAGCTTGGCCCACAGAAGCTCCAGGCTGCACATGCCCCGAATCTTGCTGCAGGTATCTCAAAGGCAGATCCGTCTCTCCCCAGGCTCTGTTGGATGCTACAAAGCCATATGGAGGCGGACGCGAGTCCATACTTCTTCCCTATCCTTGAGGGGCATTTTCAGTCCCCTTTCATGGTTGCATTGACCCCACCTTCCTGTCTGCTCTGCTTAAGCAGCACATCCGGCAGCTCAGAAAGGGCATTTTGCTATGGCTGGGTTTGACACCTTCTACTACGCAGAGTTTCTGTACAATAAAATCACAGGGCATAGTGCAAACCGAGAAAAAAAGTGTCTACCTGCTCCTTATTAATTATAAATCCATAAACACGCACACACACGCTTGGTGCAGCAATAAAACAGAAACTAGGACGGTTTGTATCAGATCTGGCACGACGCTATTTTTTTCTCACCAGCGTTGTGCAATGGGACAACAGCAGCGTCAGCCTGTAATTTGGGGAGAAACGCGGCAGCTCGTGGCCTCGCTCATGGCGAGCGAGCAGCCGGGGCCACGCGGAGAGCTGTGAGCTGGCGCGGGGGGCCTTGGTGGGGACAGCGGGGGCCGCAGCAGGCACTTACGGCAGGCAATGTCCAGCAGGTGAGGGGCCGGCCCCCAGAGATGGGGGGAGCCGGTGTCGAAGACCACGGTGACCTTCTGCGGCGGGGTGCCGATGCCGATCTCGCCGTAGTACTGCGCCTGCAAGCGGGTGGGAGCAGGGCGCCGTGAGCCAAACGCCCCAGAGGAAATTCAGGAAAAAAGAGCCCAAGTGATAACAAAAAATGAAGGCTTTGGAAAGGAAGCTGCGAGCAGAGGGAGAAAACCTTCTTTCAGCTCTGGAAGACGCACACACGGGCAGGTTGTGCCAATGTCCCCCCACGCAGGGAGCGATCCGGCACGGAGGCTTCCCAGGAGCCGCAGAGGAGGCAGGAGAGCGGGGGAGCTGGCCGTGCCGGGTGCTTGGCTCCCAGGCAAAGCTGCCTGCAAGCTGCTGGGCGGCCGCGCGGCTCCCGGCCCCGTTCCTGGGACCACCAGGGCCTGGGGCCTTTGGTGCCCACAGCGAGCGCAGACCTCCATGCTGAGGGGACACACACTTTCCCCAGCTCTCCCCAAGGGTCCGCAGCCAGCGCCTGGGGAAGGCTCGGCCTCGGGTGAGTATCTGGGTGGGCCAGGGCCCTCGGGAGCGGGCTGAAAAATGCCAGAGGGGTCAGGCTTTGGCCTTTTCCAAAATCCCCATGCACTCAATTAAAAGGAGGGTCGGGAGGGACAAAGGGAAAACAGAGTTGTCCAAGTTGCCTGCACTGAGCTCCCATCCAGGGCGCTTAGCAGTAACTAGGGGCTGCTGGTTGAGTAATTAATAATCCGCTGCAATTAACCGCAATGGGACAGTTGCTTCCGGTAGTTCTCTAATTATTGCTGAAAACAGACCCGGCACGTGGGCCAGGCGGGCGGGGGTAACCTGGGCCCGCTGCCGCCCTGCGGGGGCGAGTTGGGGTGGGAAAGCCTGTCCAAGGGGAGCACCCACCTTGCCCGGCAGAAAAACTGAGCTGTGGAGCTGCCCTGTCGCCACCTAAAAATATCCTGCTGCCAGAATACCGGCTCCCACCTTGTCACCCGTGGTTACCATCAAGGTCAAATCCCTGCAGAGGAGCAAAGTGCTGCCTCACCTTGCAAGGGAAGCCTGCAAGGGGCTGCCCGGGGGGCTGCAGCCAGGGGTCCTCAGCGCCTGGCCGAAAGCGCTGTGCAACCCCGTGCGGTTTGCAACATGCTGAGCAAACACTCGGAGCTCTTCCCAGACACGCGGCGTGCCGCCGTGCCCCGAGGGGGCTGGGGAGACCTGGGTGGCGCAGGA